CGATAACAGCATTTTCTATAGAAAATATTGTCGATAACAATATTTCCTATAAGAAATTGTCTGCTACAAAATTTTCTATTAAAAATATTGTCGATAACAATATTTTCTTTAGAAAACATTTTCGATAACAATATATTCTTTAGAAAATATTGTCGATAACAACATTTTCTTTAGACAATAACTTCTTTAGAAAATATTGTCGATAAAAATATTTTCTTTAGAAAATAGTATCGATAACAATATTTGCTATAGAAAATATTGTCGATAACAATTTTTCTTTAGAAAATATTATCGATAACAATTTTTCTTTAGAAAATATTATCGATAACAATTTTTCTTTAAAAAATATTATCGATAACAATTTTTTTTTTTAAAATATTATCGGTAACAATATTTTCCATAGAAAATATTATCGATAGTTATATTTCCTATAAAAAATATTATCGATATCAATATTTTCTATTGAAATTGTTATTGATAATAATATTTTCTATATATTTATCACAAAATTGTCTATAGATTTTCTGTAAAAAAACATTGTCAATAACAAAATATTGTTTTATATTTTCGATAACAATATTTTCTACGAAAAAACAAGGTTTCTTTTATTAAAACTCATTAGTGTTAATATTTTCTTAGAAAAATATCGAAAATCCATCGATAACATCCAATTATTTATAGTAATTTTCATTCATATTTTTCCGTCTTATTCGAAATTATGTTCAATTATTGGTTCGTTTTTGCCAGTACACATCGACGCTTATGCGACACATTAGCATCACTCCAATGCATACAACTGCAGTGGTGTGAAAATAAATGTCAGTTGCAGGGGAAATTGAAAATAATAAATGTTGAACATATAACAGCAAATAATTCCAATATTATATGCGTTTACACGGCCAAGAATGTGTTGTCGGTTTTTTTCGCACGAATTTTCATTCTTGGACGCATTCCAAATAATCTGCACACTCACATACATATAACTATCACTTCCATATTCTCACCCGCACCCCTTTGCATTTCGTTTTAAAGAAATTAAAGATTTTTATCGGTATATTTTCTAAAGCGGAAAAAATAGAAATATCTATATTTAATCCTTTTTGACTTCGTTATGTCGGTTCATTTGTAGAGAGGAGGTGGAGGAATTTGCTTTGTTATGGCCATAAAGCAAAGTTTTCTAATGGAATAGGAAACTTTTATGCTCACATATGACACTAGTTCAAAAAAAACACGATGTGAAATGTAAAAAGGATGCGAAGTGTTATGATGTCGCAAAGTTGCATAAGGTATGGTGTATGTGACGGTGTATGTATGCGAGCATAACTGACTGATAAAGTGTTGGAATTTGTAATTTATGTCGACAAGTGGAAGTGGAAATATCTTACCTGTAAAGATTCAATTTTAGAGGAATTTGACAACAACAGCATGTGGTGCCTTGGTAAAGCGTTTAATATGGATTTTTTAAAGAGATTTATTTTTTGAAGAACCATCAGAGTAGTATATATGCGTTCTAAAAGGAATATTCTGCAGTGTCATAAGAGCCATGGTCGTTAATATGAGAAATCAAAAAGAATGATTTTACTTGAGATTTGTAGAAGGGGCCATAAAACTTAAGTTAAAATATCTGTCGAAATTCATGCAATAGTGGTGCTAAAGCCAGCCGGATGGAGGGCATTTGGTCTTAACAATTCTGCTCTATAATATACAGGTTGTCTTGGTCATCTCGACTTATTCTCTAGTCTATCCGGTTGTAAGTGCCGGCTTGATGTGCCCAAACGTGTGATAAGATTGGCTTTTTTGTATTTCGTAAAAAAAGGCTACGTAAATTTGTAAAAAGGTTGCTAAATTTCTAAAATAGTACAATTTGGTATCATTGTGAACGGATAGAGCTAATAACTTGAAATTTGGTATTTCTTACTAAAAAGGTACGACAATTTGTAAAATGGTACTAAATTTCTAAAATAGTACCATTTGGTATCATTGTGAACGGATAGAGCTAATAACTTGAAATTTGGTATTTCTTACTAAAAAGGTACGACAATTTGTAAAATGGTACTAAATTTCTAAAATAGTACCATTTGGTATCATTGTGAACGAACAGAGCTAAAAACTTGAAATTTGACATGAGAATGAAGGTTGGAAAAATATGTTTGGTATATGAAGGTGATTTTGGAAATGGGTACTAAAAGTGCGAATTGCAATTGGTACTAAATTTGGGACAGTTTGGTTTAGGGTGAATGGATGAAGCTGGGATTTTGAAATTTTTGTACTGGGGTCCTTGTTGGTGGTAGGTTTGTGATAAAGAGGAGGAGGTTTTGGAAGTATGTGCTGCAGGTGTAGAAAAAGTACCAAATAGTACTATCTTTGGTACAATTTGATATTGGGTGAGCAGATAGTGCATAAAATCTTTAAGTTGGTATTAGGGTTGCAGTTCATGTGTAATCTGGACATATGGAGGTGGTTTCGGAAATGTGCACTTTAATTGTACGTAAAGTACTGAATTGTACTGAATTTGGAATTAAGAGAAGACATAGAAGTGGAATCCTGAAATTTGGCATTGGCGGGTCTGTTAGCATCTGCAACTAAGATATGGAGCTGGTTTTCGAAATCTGAACTATAAAAGTACGAAAAGTACTAAATGGTTCCAAATTTGGTCTTGCTTGAAGGGCTAATGATATAATTCTTAAAATTCATATTTGGAGATTTGGTGGTTTGTGTGGTTTGTAAATATGTCCTATACCTATACGAGAAGTACCAAATGGTACTAAATTTGGTGTTGAACGAAGGGATATGGCTGGAATTTCTGGTGATATCTCGAATTGAGATTTTGAGGTTGTTTTGGAAACGTCTACCATAATTGTACGGAAAGTACTAAATGGCACTGAATTTGGTATTGGGTGAAGATCTAGAACTAGAATCCCGAAATTTGATAGTGTGGTGTCTATTAGTATCTGCAACTTAGATATGGAGCTGGTTTTGGAAATATGTACTACATGTGCACGAATAGTACTAAATAGTACTGCATTTGGTACCATTTGGAATTGGGTGAACATATAGTGCTTAAAATCGGAATTTTGGTATTAGGGTCACTGTTCATATCTAACCTTGACATATAGAAGTGGGTTTGCAAATGTGTACCATAATTGTACTAAAGGTACTAAATAATACAAAATTTGGCATTATATTTGGTAATGGCGGAAATTAAAGAGCTAAAATTCTGAAGTTTGATATTAAGGTCACTGTTGATATCTGAGGATGAGATATGGAGGTGATTTGTTAATTGCGTCCTATATTTGTACGAAAGGTACTAAATGGTATTAAATTGGGCATTGAGTGAAGGGATAGAGCTGGAATCCCAAAATTTGATATTGAGGTCTGTGTTGGTATCTGGAATTGAGATATGAAGGTGGATAGTGCTTGAAATCTGAAATTTGGTATCAGGATCGCTGTTCATGTGTAGACTTGATTTATGGAGGTGATTTTGGAATTTTATACTATAATTGTACGAAAAGTACTAAATTGTACTAAATTTGATATTGGATGAAGGGATAGATCTGGAATCCCGAAATTTAACATTGAGGTCTCTGCTGGTATATGCGATTGGGGTATGGAGGTTGTTTTGGAAATGTGTACTATAATAGTACGAAGTGTACTTAATTGTGCTACATTTGATCTTGGTTAAAGGGATAGAGATCGAATTCAGAAATTTGATAATAAAGGTCTCTGCTGCTATCTGGAAATAAGTAATGGAGATGGTTTCGGAAATTGATACCATAATTGTACGAAAATCACTAATTAGTACTAAATTTGGGTTCAGGTGAAGGGATAGAGCCACAATCCCTGAATTTGATATTGATGTCTATGTTGGTATCTGGATATTATATTAGATATTAATTAGATATTAAGGTTGAGATACTAAGGTTGTCTGTATGTTCTAAAAGTACTAAATTGTACTAAATTTTGTATTGGGTGAAAGAATAGAGCAGAAATTTGGTTTGGATGTCACTGTTGGTCTTTATAATTAAGATATAGAGGTGATTTTAGAAATGTGTACTATAATTGTACGAAAAGTACTAAATGGTACTATATTTGCTATTGAGTGAATGGATAGGGTGGAATCCCAAAATTTAATACTGAGATCTCAGTTCGTATTTGGAATTGAGATTTATGGAGATAAAATTCGGAAATTTAATATTGAGGTCTCTCCTGGTATGTGAGACTGAGATTTGGAGTTGTTTTTGCAAATGTGTACCATAATTGTACGAAAAGTACTAAATTAGATATTGGGTGAAGGGACAATAGTGAAACCTTAAAATTTGATATGAATCTCACTGTTGGTGTCTGGGATTGAGATATTGAATGGTTTTGGAAATCTGTTCCATATTTGTACGAAAAGTACTTAATAGTACTCAATTTCGTAAAATTTGCTAATTAATGAAGGAATAGATTAAATTATAAGTTGAGAGTTTTTTTTAGACCTTGTATTTTAACACAAAGATTTATATTATATGCAGGGCGATTGGTACCACGTTTAGGTATGGCCACCATATAATGGTACCATCCGATTTTCGGTATTTTGAAGGTTTTTGCCACAATTTCCAACCAAATCAGCTGAAACTCGATAATTGGGGTTCCTGGTAGATATGTTCTCTCTACAAAAAATATTCGCGACAGGTCTACTAATTGGTGTAGCCCGCATACCACGGCGCGTCCCTCATTATTTAATTTTAATTGGTGGAGATTATAAAAATTTCGGCAAGGCCGAATTTTATTTTAACACAAAGATCTATATTATATGCAGGCTGATTGGTATTGAAAATGAGCTATATTGGCCCACGTTTAGGTATGGCCACCATATAATGGTGCCATACGATTTTCGGTATTTTGAAAATTTCTGCTACAATTTCCAACCAAATCAGCTGAAACTCGACAATTGGGGTTCTTGGTAGATATGTTCTCTCCTGTTTACTTATTTTCAAAACGTTTTTATTTACTTTCAGCTACCTTGGCTCCTTGGTGTATTTATGGTATCCTTAAAACTTCCTTAAAAATCCATGTAATTACCAAAAGAAAATAACACTCTGCAACATGCAATCATAATTGGCCAAAGCCGTAACACAGCAATCCATTTGGAAAAATTCAAAACTTCAAAAAAAAAAAAAAATAGAAACAAAAAATCTTTCACGTTGCCCCAAATTGAATTGAGGTGATGACGAACAAGTGTTGCCACGTGAAAACCACTACCACCACCACCAAGTAATGCTTCTGGCCATAAGGATAATAACACCAGGATTATGCAAACAGAGCCAGCAGTTGTTCTAAAAAGACCACAACATGCCATCGACACTATGTTGCACAATGTGGCGGAGCATTTGGAGGAGCACACACAGAAATACTCGGCAATGGTCAAGGGTAAAGCAGGTCATTGCAACAGCGGTAAGCTGGTGGATAACAACAGCAACACGAAAAGGTCCAACGAAACTCTGTCATCAATGGCAGCAGCAGCAGCTAAGGACTCAATGAAAAAATACTCAGAGCTAGAACAGCATTATGCAAATGAGCCTGCGAATGGTGTTCGAATTGCACCTAGGGCCATCATTGCCACTGGCAAAGAGACTGATATTAAGAAGAAGCCAAAGAAGCTAGAACGCCCCCAATATTCTCCTGGAAATAAGGCAAGCAGACATCTGCCTGAGGAAACGGCATTACAAAACCTTCTCCATTGTAATCAACAGATCCTGGAGCAGAAAAACAAATTGCTCAGCAGTATTATTAGCCCATTTTCAGCAGCAGCAACAAAAACAACAACAGCAACAAAAATCCAAAGCAAAGAGATTCCCATGTACCTGCCATCCATGAAGTCTAATCACGAACTCCCAATGCAGAAGGCCTCACATCATTACTCAATTCCAACGTCATTGTCAGCATCTGACTCAATGTTCTCCTTCTCCTTCTCATCATCATCATCCATCTCCCAATCCTTGCCAGCGGAACACCCCTTCCGCCTTGATCACATTAACATAATTTGCATTCTTTTGTTTTGCCTTGTCTTGCCCCATTATTTGCTGCTCTTGCCCCCTTCCGTGGCTGCCGCATGCCGCGAGGAACCCTCACGCTCCTGCGAAGCCATATGTCGACCCAAATGGCTGATGAAAGCTGACAGTGACAAAATCTATTACCATGCAATGCATCACTCCGTCAAAGATGATAATCAGACAATTGACATATTTCGGAATGTCAGCAGTGCGTCCTCGCAGCAGCAGCAGCAGGAGCTGGACTCGAGCAATCCATTTGCCTCGTACAATTGTACGATACGTGCTTTAGTTTTATTGCCGGATAATGATACCTATGTGACATCGTTGAGGCGTGTCGTACCGATACTGCAAACGGCCGAAGATTATCTGCATCGCAGCGGTCTGTTGCCGTCGTATGTCAACATCGAGTGGATGCCGCACGATGACAAATGCGATGCAGCCTATGCCATGGTCAATGTTATGGATGGCATTGTTAAGAAGTGTGCCCATGCGATATTTGGGCCAACATGTGATTATGGGTTGGGTAAGTTGAAGGGGTTATAGAGAGGGGGGGGAGGTATCCCTATTATTTAAAGGCTTAATTTAATTCCCTTCTTTCCAGCCGCCGTGGGTCGCATCACAAAATACTTCAACAGCAATGGCACGCCCCTGATAACAGTGGGCGGTGGCACCTTTGACTTCGAGGCCAAAAAGACCACCTGTGCCGATGAGTTTTATATGCTGCTGCGCACCGGAATGTTGAGCTTTCGTACCATATCCGATCTCACAATAAATGTAATGCAACAGTAAGAATAATCAAATCATTCGCCCCCCACCTCAATAATATATCACCGAATTCGATCTCTCATTTTTGTAGAAATAAATGGTCCCGTTCGATCTTCTTCTATGATCGCGATGGCCAGACAAGTGTTGCGGGTCAACACACCTGTTTTCTGATGATGAAAACGCTGGGCGAACAGATGCGTAAGAATAACATGAATTTTGCCCAGCATTGGATATCGCGCGATGAGACATTTCGTCACGAGGAAATGGTGCGCGAGATTGGCAATAAACATTCAGGTAAGTGGTGGAAATTAACAGTGGGTGGTGGAGATAACATTCTGGTATGTTAACATTTGAAGTTCTGTTATGTTGAAATGATGGGGTGAAATGTTAACAGCTGCCAGAGTGTTGAGAATTTTGTGGGGCAAATCAAAAGCTTTCAGATTTTTTAGCAAGGACAAGAACCCAGAATGGCTTCGGTTTGCATATGAAATACAGCAATGTCGAATATTGGGTTTGAATTTTGTATGGGCTGTTAGTTGACAGACGGATTCTAGGTCTCATATGGGGAAAGGTCCCGGGCTCATAGGGGAATCCCCCGGGGTCCATAGCCTCGCTGGGTAGCAGCTCGTCTATAGAGCAGCTCGTCTATAGAGAGACCAGCTCGTACTCTATAGAGACCAGCTGGCCTGCCAGCAGCTCGTCATCTATAGAGACCAGCTGGCATGCCAGCATCTCGTTATCTATGGAGACCAGCTGACAAGAGAGACAAGCTGGCCTGCCAGTGCTCGTCTATAGGGAGACAAGCTGGCCTGCCAGCAGCTCGTCTATAGAGAGACAAGCTGGCCTGCCAGCAGCTCGTCTATAGAGAGACAAGCTGGCCTGCCAGCAGCTCGTCTATAGAGATACCCGCTGGGTTGCCAGCTCGTCCATAGAGAGACCAGCTGGCCTGCCAGCAGCTCGTCTATAGAGAGAGAGAGACCAGCTGGCCAGCCAGCGGCTCGTCTATAGAGACAGAGAGAGAGAGACCAGCTGCCCAGCCAGCAGCTCGTACTCTATAGAGAGAAACTGGCTGGCCTGCCAGCAGCTCGTACTCTATAGAGAGAGAGACCAGCTGGCCAGCCAGCAGCTCGTCTATAGAGAGAGAGACCAGCTGGCCAGCCAGCAGCTCGTCTATAGAGAGAGAGACCAGCTGGCCTGCCAGCAGCTCGTCCTCTATAGAGAGACCAGCTGGCAGCTGGCCTGCCAGCAGCTCGTACTCTATAGAGAGAGACCAGCTGGCCCGCCAGCTGCTCGTCTATAGAGAGACCAGTTGGCCCGCCAGCAGCTCGTCCTCTATAGAGAGAGAGACCAGCTGGCCTGCCTGCAGCTAGTGCTCTATAGAGAGAGAGACCAGCTGGCCTGCCAGCAGCTCGTCCTCTTAGAGGGAGACCAGCTGGCCTGCCAGCAGCTCGTCCTCTTAGAGAGAGACCAGCTGGCCTGCCAGCAGCTCGTCGTCTATAGAGAGAGACCAGCTGGCCTGCCAGCAGCTCGTCGTCTATAGAGAGAGACCAGCTGGCCTGCCAGCAGCTCGTTGTCTATAGAGAGAGACCAGCTGGCCTGCCAGCAGCTCGTCGTCTATAGAGAGAGAGACCAGCTGGCCTGCCAGCAGCTCGTCATCTATAGAGAGAGACCAGCTGGCCTGCCAGCAGCTCGTCCTCTATAGAGAGAGACCAGCAGGCCTGCCAGCAGCTCGTCCTCTATAGAGAGAGACCAGCTGGCCTGCCAGCAGCTCGTCCTCTATAGAGAGAGACCAGCTGGCCTGCCAGCAGCTCGTCCTCTATAGAGAGAGACCAGCTGGCCTGCCAGCAGCTCGTCCTCTATAGAGAGAGACCAGCTGGCCTGCCAGCAGCTCGTCCTCTATAGAGAGAGACCAGCTGGCCTGCCAGCAGCTCGTCCTCTATAGAGAGCGACCAGCTGGCCTGCCAGCAGCTCGTCTATAGAGAGAGACCAGCTGGCCTGCCAGCAGCTCGTCTATAGAGAGAGACCAGCTGGCCTGCCAGCAGCTCGTCCATAGAGAGAGACCAGCTGGCCTGCCAGCAGCTCGTCTATAGAGAGAGACCAGCTGGCCTGCCAGCAGCTCGTCGTCTATAGAGAGAGACCAGCTGGCCTGCCAGCAGCTCGTCGTCTATAGAGAGAGACCAGCTGGCCTGCCAGCAGCTCGTCGTCTATAGAGAGAGACCAGCTGGCCTGCCAGCAGCTCGTCCTCTATAGAGAGAGACCAGCTGGCCTGCCAGCAGCTCGTCCTCTATAGAGAGCGACCAGCTGGCCTGCCAGCAGCTCGTCTATAGAGAGAGACCAGCTGGCCTGCCAGCAGCTCGTCCATAGAGAGAGACCAGCTGGCCTGCCAGCAGCTCGTCTATAGAGAGAGACCAGCTGGCCTGCCAGCAGCTCGTCCATAGAGAGAGACCAGCTGGCCTGCCAGCAGCTCGTCTATAGAGAGAGACCAGCTGGCCTGCCAGCAGCTCGTCGTCTATAGAGAGAGACCAGCTGGCCTGCCAGCAGCTCGTCGTCTATAGAGAGAGACCAGCTGGCCTGCCAGCAGCTCGTCGTCTATAGAGAGAGACCAGCTGGCCTGCCAGCAGCTCGTCGTCTATAGAGAGAGACCAGCTGGCCTGCCAGCAGCTCGTCCTCTATAGAGAGAGACCAGCTGGCCTGCCAGCAGCTCGTCCTCTATAGAGAGAGACCAGCTGGCCTGCCAGCAGCTCGTCCTCTATAGAGAGCGACCAGCTGGCCTGCCAGCAGCTCGTCCATAGAGAGAGACCAGCTGGCCTGCCAGCAGCTCGTCTATAGAGAGAGACCAGCTGGCCTGCCAGCAGCTCGTCGTCTATAGAGAGAGACCAGCTGGCCTGCCAGCAGCTCGTCCTCTATAGAGAGAGACCAGCTGGCCTGCCAGCAGCTCGTCCTCTATAGAGAGCGACCAGCTGGCCTGCCAGCAGCTCGTCTATAGAGAGAGACCAGCTGGCCTGCCAGCAGCTCGTCCATAGAGAGAGACCAGCTGGCCTGCCAGCAGCTCGTCTATAGAGAGAGACCAGCTGGCCTGCCAGCAGCTCGTCCATAGAGAGAGACCAGCTGGCCTGCCAGCAGCTCGTCTATAGAGAGAGACCAGCTGGCCTGCCAGCAGCTCGTCGTCTATAGAGAGAGACCAGCTGGCCTGCCAGCAGCTCGTCGTCTATAGAGAGAGACCAGCTGGCCTGCCAGCAGCTCGTCGTCTATAGAGAGAGACCAGCTGGCCTGCCAGCAGCTCGTCGTCTATAGAGAGAGACCAGCTGGCCTGCCAGCAGCTCGTCGTCTATAGAGAGAGACCAGCTGGCCTGCCAGCAGCTCGTCCTCTATAGAAAGGCCTGCTGGCCTGCCAGCAGCTGCTCCTCTATAAAGAGGCCAGCTGGCCCGCCAGCTCGTCTATAGAGGCCAGCTGGCCCGCCAGCAGCTCGTCTATAGAGAGACACCAGCTGGCCCGCCAGCAGCTCGTCTATAGAGAGACACCAGCTGGCCTGCCAACAGCTCGTCTATAGAGAGACACCAGCTGGCCTTCCAGCAGCTCATCTATAGAGAGACCAGCTGGGCCACCAGCTTGCCTATAGAGACCAGCTGGGCCACCAGCTTGCCTATAGAGACCAGCTGGGTCACCAGCTTGTCTATAGAGACCAGCTGGCCCACCAGGTCGTCTATAGAGACCAGCTAACCCACAAGCTCATCTATATAGACTCCCTGGCCCTTCAGCTCGCCTATAGAGACTTCGGGCCTCCGGCTCGTCTACTTCGACTCTTTGTCCTTCAGCTCATGTATATCGACTCTCTGGTATTCAGCTCGTCTATTTTATGTCAGTAACTCAAGCACTTTTAATATTTTAATATCGAATAATATTCGAATCTTCGAATTTTTTTCGATGACTCGAAAAGCTTGTAGGAGAATAAATAGCTTTCATTCCCTTCATTCAATCTCTGAAAAAGTTTCTATTCAAAAAATATTCCATTTGAAAGCTCTTTCCCATCATTCAAAGCTTTTTTCCAATTCGAAAATCCTTTCACGAAAATAAACAAAAATCAGGTGTTCCTCCACAACAACAACAAGACTCAAATGCCGGTATCCATTGTGTTTACATTGCTCCATTTACGATATCTCCGAAAAGGACATTCACTAACTGGCTG